AATATATTATAATATATAAGAAAAGTGTTTCACATACATTATTATCAACTCAAAGTTTTTTAATCGAACGTTTATTTCAATCAAAATTTAATAATACTTTTCTATAGATTTTAAAAATTCAGTTTATGTCTATTGAGACATTTTTGGTAATTTCTTACACAAATGATATGGAAAAATATTAAATGAAATATAATCGAAAAATTAATTGACAAGATATTATGTGAATATTTCAATCAAGTTATCTTTAACAATAAAAATGGTCCCTTTTTTTTTTAATGAATAAACAATACGAAAGTATACTTATCGTTTCTTGATAAAAAAGAAATAATTTTTTGCTTAACAAATATTCCATTTCTCTCTGAATTTACGCAATAATACAAAACTTTGAGCCGATATATGTATAAATGTGTGTCCCAATATTATTTTTGCTAAATTTTACCATCATATTTTATGAATAAAAATATGGCAACAGAAATTTTATATGAACATTGGTTCCTCGTTATTTAATTAAAAAAAAAAAATTAAAAATATATCTTTTTTCTTTTCTTTTTTTTGATTTCCTATTATATAAATTTCCGCACAAAATTGATAGAAAATATTCCATTATTATTACGTGAACATTTATGAATCAAATTAAATAATTATGTTCAATGCATTATGCGGTGCCATTACTGTACCATTTAAAAGCATTTAAAAGCTCATCATTCTATAGAATACTTTTATTATATTTTTACTTATAAAATATATATCGGTAAAATAATGACGAAGATAAATTGAGACATCCTGCATATAAAATACGAAATTGTAAACCTTTGCAGGTTGAAAATCTGGATTCTCTATATAAGGTTTCAATTTATTGATCATATCTTCGGTTATATTTTCTCGATTAAAATTGACCATCATGTTTAAAAAATGTCCAGCATCTGCAAACATTTGACTACCCGGTGTCCAGTAATCTAATATTTTTTCACCGGGTAATTTACCTGGCAACTAAAAAGAAAAAAAAAAACACCAAAAAATAAAGAGAACAATTATTAACAAAAAAAAAATATATATATATATACATATATGTATGTATATATGTAATATAATATATAAATATAATACACATATAAATATATATATATAAA